ACTAAAAAGGAAATAAAGTGCCTCACAAATACAAAGGCAAAAATACACCTATACAAGTATCTACTATATACAAGGTACAAGAAATCAACTATACAAGTATGTACAATGGAAACTCAAGAGACTAATAAGAGGAATCATAATCAATGCGCATGAAGAGCAAAGGTCTAAGAAGCACTTCCTCTGTAGAAGCCTCTTCTAGCTTCCTAACCATGGACCTAGTTAAAGGCCCAATGGTCTTCAAGTGTGAGCATCCTTGGATCACCCTTCACCCTTCTTGGTCTTACCTCTTGCAATTAGATTTCCATCATAAAGGCTTGCGTTAAAATTTGTATTTTTGATTTTATGACTTTGTGCATATTAAAGTTATTCATGAATGAATTCATATTGAATCAATAAATTTAGGACCTTATATTTCACTAAGAAAAGGTTACACATTGTAATACATGGAAGGAAATGTTTAATCTAAAATATAACCACCATGATTCATGTGTGATTATTTTTTGGTGACAATAATATCAAGTTTGAGTTGACATGTTATGGCCATACTTAATATTCAAAAATAAAGATTATCATTAATAAGATATGAGTCAAGTGGGAGAATGTTTGAATATAAACATTAAGTGACTCATAATCAAAATTGATATAATTGTTATAAATTTTAAATTTTTGCATTATTGCATTTTAATGGAGAAGCCAAATTAAAGGGGTAGTTACATTTCTGAGTTTATGAAAGGGTCCCTAACCTTGCCTATATAAAGTCTGTGATGCTATATTGATTCCCACATTCAGAAAAGGCAAAAGCTAGAAGACTTCTCTATTCAGAAATGGCTACAAGTGGAGGTATGTTTCTACATTATACTTTATATTCTTTTTTCTTATTTTGTAATATGTTTCAATGACCAATGATCAAGTAATAAATATTTTATTATATTCATCGTAAAAGTCCAACATTAAACTCATTCTTCTTCTTGACATCTATTTTTGGATAATTGCCATCCTTTTCCAATGGTCTAAAATATACAATGTAATTTGTCCAAGTGTGATATTTTTCCTTAAAATTTTAAGCTCGCATGATGTTGAATGTGACTATCTAGTTTATAATATAAAATTTGAATTATAAACACCAGTTGTGTATTAGAGAGTTTCCACACAAATGTGTTTTAATATTGGTAAGATATTGTTTACTTTTAACCCTCGTGATTTTAGTTTTGGATATCACCCAAAAGGCCTATTAACAATAAAAACAATTGTGTATATATATAAACACATGTCCATCCTTATGTTCTAAGGATGTGGGGCTTTGATTGCATTCCAACAATCTCCCCTCTGACAAAGAACCATGATTTACCTTCCTTTCCAGCTTAATCCACAAGTATTATCCGACGGTGATACATAGAACTTAGTCATGCTCTAAGTACTTGCATCATCGCTCCATTTTTAATTCACAATAACGAGACATGTCTCCTAGTCCTTCATGTTACTAGGAAGACTCTCTTCCATATATTAACCCATTGTTAGGAGGACTTTGATACAAAGGATCTTATAATTGGATCTACTTGCCAATTCCATCATATTCACTAAATCAATCACCTAGTTGCCCATTGGCTTTTATACCACTTGTTGTGCATCGGGGTTTTTCCATAAACACATATCTCTGTAACACCCCATTTTTTCTTATTTCAATTTTATTTTATTTTAATTGAGGGTATTTTGGTAATTTTATAAGGGTGATAGGGGTGATTTAGTAGCTTGGAGCGGGCTGTTTCAGAATTGGAACGGGCCGTTCCAAACTACCAGAGAAAGTGTGAGTTAGTAGCCCAGAACGAGCCGTTCTCAAGTTGGAACTGGCCGTTCCGGACTATTAATTTTGCCTTTAACCCTAAATGGGAACGGACTTGGAACGGGACATTCCCAAAAATTATGGTCGTTGTGAGTAATTAATGCCCACCACAACAGGCAGTTCTGGTTTGGGAACGGGGTGTTCTGGATGTGATTTTTACCCATGGTTTAAGGGTCTAGAACGAGCCGTTCCAGATTTGGAACGACCCATTCCGGCGTAGAATGCCTATAAATAAAGTTGTTTGCCACTCCCAAAAAGGCACACCTCTCATTTCTGATTTCTTTTCTTCTGCTCTCTCTCTTCTTTCCTCTACTTTTTGCGTCAGACCGAGGGGAACCCAGCGAGGGAGATCAACCAGATCTAGTGTAGATTCAGCTTCTACATATCTAGATTCAGCTTCTACATATCCAGGTACGGGGAAAAAGGGAATTATTTATATGTAGAGTTACATAAGAGAATTGGGTAGAAGAAGAAACCTAAGGATTATGAGCAATTTTATAATTATTTCTATTTTAATAATTATAAAAGGGAATTATTTATATGTAGAGTTACATAAGAGAATTGGGTAGAAGAAGAAACCTAAGGATTATGAGCAATTTTATAATTATTTCTGTTTGAATAATTATTGGTCTTATTTGATTCTGTATATATTTAGGACTACGAATATATGATTTATTTGTAAAAATGATGCTCTGGGAGAGAGAGCGAAATTGTAGAAAAGTGCCTGTTAGTTAGATTGTGAAAAATTAGATGATTTCTGTTTGAGGAATTGATGATCCCATTAGATTCTGTATGTGTTGAGGATTATAAATATGCTAATAATTTGTAAGAATGATGATCTGGGAGAGAGAACGAAATTGTAGAAAAGTGCCTGTGAGCTAGGTTTTGGAACAATTAGGGGTTTTACGTTTTATGTTGAAATTATATTAAATTGCTAATTTCGTTGAGTATCATATTAATTTATGAATGTTATTGCTATATTATTTGATAAAAATTGGTGATTTAGATGTGAATTGCTTGAGGTGTATGAAACCCATTATTTTGGACTTATCTGATATGTGTATGGAATTGAACTATGAGATGTTGTGTGGAATGTGAATGAGATGTGATTATGGTTCTTCACACCTATGATCAGGGGTGAGCACGACCCGAGATTGTTACATGAATATCGTGACCTTGGTTAACATGTCAGGGGTGAGCACGACCATAGGTTAGGGGTAACGTGACCTTGGCACAGTGTTATATTAGGGGTGAGCAAGCTCTGGATTGTTACGTGGGTATCGTGACCTTGGTTAACATGTCAGGGGTGAGCACGACCCTAGGATAGGGATAACGTGACCTTGTCACAGTGTTATATCAGGGGTGAGCACGGCCCGAGATTGTTAAATGGGTAGTGTGACCTTGGCATAGTGTGAAGTACAAGATTTGTGATGATTGGTGTGATTGAGAATTATGACGTGATGACAATGCATGATTGATTGAAATACGATATGTTGAAATATTTATGAATATTAAATTATAATGAGATAATATGTTGTGTTTTCTTATGTGCTATATATATAGGTGTTTTCTTTTCTCACCGTGCGATTTGTGGATATTTTAGGTGAGGAAGATCTGGCTACGAGTGGTATCTAGAATGCCAACGGTTGAATTGTCGGGATGCTCTGATATTGTGACATCGAGGCAAAGGATTTTTTTGAACATAGGTTTTTATTGTAAATGTTATTTTTGAAAACAATTTGAAAACTCTTGCGTTTCATTTTTGTTATTGTGGTTATTGAAGGATAATTTTGAAGATTCTCATGTGAACCCTTTTACCGAAATTGAAAAATTTATTTATAAGTTTTTATTATTACAATATATATGTTGGGGTAGTAAGGGTGTCACAATCTCCACATGGGCTATTCTCACATCGGCTATTCTTATACACACAAAGTTATTCTCCACTTCTACATTAACATGTCACTTTAAAACTATTATCACATGTTGCCACATCAACGTTTTTGTTTGTGTCAATCATTTTCCATCCCTTCACATTTCTCATGTTGTTGTGACCACAATCAATATAATATTTTGTGGTTACAACCTCAATCAATGAGAAATTCTACATTGTATTATATTTGTTCCTTCTAAAAGTTTTAAATAATTTATTTTCACTCGTTATCAATGTGTGTAAGAAATTATGCATTCTATTATATTTGCCTCTTACTAAAAGCTCTACACAATTAATTCTCTCTCATTGTTAATTTAAACCTTAATTTCCTTATTTTTTTGACTACTCAAAATTTTAATCTTGATTTGACACTATAATTTTCACTATAGAAATCCAAGGAGATTTTCACAATTCTTTCTCTCATTTCATTCTTTATATTTTTTTCTCCTTTTTCTTAGGTTAATTTTTCTCTAATTTAAATGTTCATAATTTTAATCTTCATATTATATTTCAATTCTCATTTTTGTTAATATGTGCATAAGAGATTCTACATTTTATTATATATCAACGTGTATATATGGGGTCAAGTATCATTCTACCCTAATCTGATTCTTAACCAAAAACTATTATCCAACTTGAGCGTCAGAATGACTTTGTAGTGTTCACCCACCGTCGTGGATATTGAAGTAATGAGGATGTCATCTCACCGTGGGACCTCTTGTAGAAATTATGGTAAGAACATTTGGCACTCATTGTGAAGTCGAAGTCAAAGTATCCCCCAACCACACATGGATTCCACCCAGAACCAAATGATGAACAACACAACATAAATTTTTATAACAAATGACAATGTAATTCTTAAGCGACAGCCTCCCACTTCCACAACTGCCACAAACCCACCAGAGGAACCTACTCTAAATACCACCACCACAACACCACCATCCAATGTTAGGCTACCACACTATATAAGCATAACGAAGAAGCCTTATGTAACATCCCAAATTTTATACAATATAGTTAATTATTATTTTATATTTATAAAAATTATTTCTTATAGTTATTAATTAATTAAAGGAAGTAACCTAATTAAGCTATTAAAAGTATCATTTTTTAGGGTTTCTCTCTCGCGGCGGCACTCGCTAGGGTTTCTGTGATCACATGCATCGGATTCTGTAAAGTGGCTCACGGCCACTTGAGGCCCCTGGTGATGATGGGGGATTAGGCAGCATGGGTAGCACCTTCAAGGAGAAGGTTTTGGGTGGTCCATCGAAACCCAACAATGTACGTAATCTCATAAGTGAAGGAGCCATACCTCTGGAGTTTGAGGGTGGAGACCGTTTGTTGCCTAAGTTTAATATTGCGCAACCCACGTTAGAACAGTTATGCTTACCATGGAAGGAGTGCCTTGTGGTAAAGATACTGAGGAAGAACATAGGGTATCTCACTATGAGGTATCGGCTTCACACATTGTGGAAACTACAAGGTGGGTTTGAACTGATAGACATATCACAAGGATATTTTATGGTAAAGTTTGATCTAGTGGCAGACAGGGAAAAAGTCATGCAGGGTTGGCCATGGATGCTTTTCGACCATTATTTGATCGTACGACCATGGTCTCCTGAGTTCATGGCGGCGGATGCTAAGGTTGATAGCACTTTAGTTTGGGTTCGCTTTCCGGGATTAAGGATGGTGTTTTATGATGAGAGTGTCTTACTTACCATTGCTTCTGCAATTGGTAAACCGATTAAAGTGGATCTAAATACTTTGAACATGACAAGGGGACGCTTTGCACGGGTCTGTGTTGAAATTAGGTTGGATCAACCTGTTGTTGGGAAATTCAACCTGAACGGAATTTGGTACAATGTCGAATATGAAGGGCTTCATCTACTATGTGCTTCATGTGGGTGCTATGGACACATCATGCGGAATTGCTCTAGAACTTTATCTACCCAGGAATAACAGTCCCCTAATACCCTTGATGCAGCAATGGAAGGAAATAAGTCTTCGACCACAGATGAGGCGGGTCATGAAACGAACTCTGTGTTGCAAGATGGTCTAACTACATCCCAATTTCCAAAAGGCAATGCACCTGAACCTCCTGGTGACTGGCTGGTGGTTAGACGAAGGAATAGGAAACAAAATCATAAAAGACTCTCGTTGAAAAACCATGCACCCCACTATGGGGAGGCGCCAAACCACATGGCCAACAATTTTGAAGGGGCTGGTAACAGAATGGGCACACAGAATAAGACTGATTCCACTACCAAGGACAGTGGGGCCCATCATAATAATGAGCCTTGCAAAGCATCAGAGTCACCAGTAACACAGATGGGACATGCCATGCAGTTCCATGCAACTAATCAGGCACACGAGAATATGGTGCAACGGAAAGAGAAAAAGCGGGGCCGGGTTGAGGAGATTAAACCTCAACGAGATATCTCCTGGGCCACTATGAAAGCACCCTCACGTGATCTAAAGAAGACCATCAACTTTAAGTCTGTACTTCCTATTGTCCATGTTGAAGGAAGTCGTTTCTCATATCAGGATGAACCTGCGCACGACATCCAAGACATAGTTAACAATAACCAAGTGTCTCACACCCAATAACTGGGAGGATCACCTATAAACGAACATGAGGGTGTAATGCTAGTTGACAACAAGGAAGATATGCAGGACATCCCGAGTGACTGCAACGAGGATATGATCTCCTAACCTTGTTTGTTTTGGATCTAGTTACTCATGTCTGCAATGATTGAAGCACTGAATATTATCAGCTGGAACATTAGGGGCGCTGTCAATGCGAAGGGTAGAAGACGGAGCATAGAACTGGTGCAACTGCATCACCCTACTATTTTTGTTGTCATGGAAACACACTGTTTGTTCTCCAGCGCTGAGTCATTTTGGACGAAGCTTGACTATAAATTATGCAATAAAGTGGAAGCACGTGGTCACTCAGGAGGCATATGGATACTGATTGCCCAGCATAGCCAACAAGTGACTAGTGAAGTAGTTGTATCTCCTCAAGCCGTAACCTTTCGGGTCCATCAGGGCCACAAGGAATGGTCGTGTACGGATTTCTATGCTAGTCCATGTTATAACCTGAGGGTACAAGCTTGGGCTCATATAAAAAGTCTGAGAAGTCAGATTTCTACTCCTTGGATTTTGATAGGTGATTTCAACGAGATAGTATCACCTTCTGAATGTAGAGGTGGTCTATTTTCCATGTCTAGAGCATCATAGTTTGTGCAGTTAATTGACGACTGCAACCTATTGGATTTGGGTGCCACGGGCCTTAGATTCACTTGGTATCGGAATCAACTTGGTTTCCCTCTAGCTAAGCGCCTGGACAGAGCACTTTGCGATACAAAGTGGCAAACCCTGTTTCCAAATGCCTTTGTGGAGAACCTTTGTCAAGTCTATTCTGATCATTGTCCCCTACTTGTTAGATGTGGTAGCCTGATTGAGACAAAAAAGAATCGACCCTTCAGGTTCCAAGCTGCCTGGGCAACTCACAAAGGATTCGAAAAGATTATAAAGGATGCTTGGAAAAGGAGCACACCAACTCTTGTGAATGGTTTGAACACGGTTTGGAAGGAGGCCATTGAGTTTAACAGGAATGTTTTTGGAACCATTTTCTCAAGAAAACGAGAGATTCAGGCCAGACTTAAAGGTGCCCAGTTTGAACTAGAGAAATGACAATCTGAATGTCTCACCAGACTTGAGACTAAACTCTAGGAAGAACTAAATGAAGTTTTTTTACAGGAGGAATTTCTCTGGTTTTAAAAATCGAGAGAGAAATGGGTACGGTTTGGAGATAGGAATACAACCTTTTTTCATGCACAGACCCTGTCCCGCAGAAGGTGAAATAAAATCAGAGGCTTATTCCTCCCTGATGGAACATGGCACACAGACTTGGAAGTGCTTCGACGTGAAGCTATTCGATTTTATAGAAATTTATTCTCAGATGACTCATAAGGCCAATTCGTAGATATGCAATACGGCACACCACCGCAGCTTGGTGCAGAAGCAGTGACATCGCTTCTGGCACCCATCACAAAAGAGGAGGTCTGTAGAGCAGTAATGAGTATGAAATCATTTAAGGCACCGGGACCAGATGGTTTCCAACCTTTCTTTTTTAAGAAGTACTGGTCCATTGCAAGGGATGAGCTATGGTGAACTGTTAATGAGGCCTTCGTAAATGGTTCATCGGATTCTTCTCTCTTAGAAACTCTTGTGGTCTTAATACCAAAAGTTGACCACCCCATGCACCTCAAGAAGTTCTGACCCATAAGCTTGTGTAATGTCGCGTTCAAGGTCATCTCAAAGGTAATAGTCGCTAGAATTTGCCCTTTTTGAACGACATGATAGGTCCATTTCAAGGGAGCTTCATACCTGGGCGGGGGACGACAGACAACAACATTTTGGCTCAGGAAGCAATCAACTTCATCCAAAAGGACAAGTCTAAAAGGGGTTCGTTGGCATTGAAGATCGACCTGGAAAAAATATATGATTGAATCAACTGGAATTTCCTTCAGGCCACGCTTTGGAGATTTGGCTTTCCAAAGAGGATTATCAAGCTTATCATGTGGTGCGTTACAAACTCATCTTTATCTGTGCTTTGGAATGGAAGTAAGTTACCCTCCTTTGCACCAACTCGAGGCTTAAGACAAGGAGATCCTCTCTCTCCATATTTATTTGTATTATGCATGGAAAGACTATCCCTTAGAATTAATGAACTGAACAGCGAGGGTTGCTGGAACCCAATCCATCTCTCTCCAGGAGGACCACCCATCTCTCACCTCCTCTTCGCAGATGACGTTATACTTTTCAGCCAAGCAACAAATGATCAAGTCCAAGTAATGGCATTTGTGCTAGATAATTTTTGCACCGTATCAGGTCTCAAGATAAATCTAGAGAAATCAAAACTTGTGGTCTCGAAAGGGGTGCCTAGCGCGAGACTTGAGCACTTAGAACAGACACTGGGTATCGAACATACACCCAGGTTTAAAAGATATCTAGGGATACCAATGATCAAGGGGAAAGCTAAGATTTCAGATCTCCACCATGTAATTGACCGTATTAATGACCACCTAGCTGCTTGGAAGGGACGTCTTCTTAACAAAGCTGGTAGGTTATGCCCCATCAACTCAGTCGTCACATCTATTCCTCTATACAACATGCAATCTCTTTGGTTCCCCCAAGCAGTTTGTAATAAGATCAATCAAGCCAGCAGAACCATGCTTTTGGCCAAGGCGGGTTCATCACGATATTGGTCTTTAGTAGGTTGGAATACTATCACTCGACCGAAAGAGTTTGGAGGGTTGGGTATCAGGGAGTCTCGACAGGTCAACATCTCTCTTATTGGTAAGTTGATATGGGACCTTCTTCATTCACCGCAAAAACCTTGGGTCAAGATTCAACAAGCAAAATACTTGCATGGGGAATCCGTATTGCACGCAAAGAAGAGCAACGGTGCATCTCAAGTGTGGAACAGCATTGTCAAAGCCCTTCCCTTTTTGTGACAAGGCTTCTATCCAAAGCTTGGTGCAGGTAACTCTTCACTTTGGTATGAAGATTGGTTAGGCTCAGGGCCTCTTTGCAGGGAAGTGCTATATGTACATATCAGTGAAACAGATAGAACAGTTGAACAATGCTGGCAACAGGGTGCTTGGAATTTTGATTCACTCTTTACTCGTCTCCTTATGGAGTTGGCTAATCGTATTCAACAAGTCCCCATCCCTTCCTCCCCGGAAGGCGCTGACATGTTCTCTTGGGCAGGTGACTCTTCCGGATGCTATACAGCAGCTTCCGGCTTTCAGTTTCTTCTTTAACCCGATCATGGACTTGTGGACCCTATATGGAAGCGTGTTTGGAAGCTGCATATCCCAGAAAAAGTTAAGTTCCTTTTATGGCAAGGCTTACACTCATCCATACCGACAAATCACTTTCGTTCTCTTCATCATTTAGATTTTATGGGAAGTTTACCCCGCTGTTCTTGTCCACAAGAAACCATTCTCGATGCAATTCGAGATTGTCCACACTCTCGGGATGTATGGCTGCAGGTTGGCAATACCCCCTCCCAGATTTTTTCGCTGATGGATTGCTTCACATGGTTTAAGGGAGTTATAACTAATTCAGCTGCTAAGAAACTAGCAATAGTTATTTGGTGGATATGGCGAAAACAACATGGTCTTTCATGGAAATAACTGGTCAGTGCAGTATGTGACATGAATGATTGCATTATCTATTGCACAAAACAACATATATCTAGAGAAGCAAGAGTTATGGAAAGAAAATGTAAAGTGGTCTCCTCCTGAATATCCTTGGATTAAAGTGAATGTGGATGGTAGCTGGCTTGGTCAATCGAGGATCATAGGAGTAGGAGGTTTAGTGCGAGATGTGGTTGGACGTTGGAAGGGAGGATTTGCTCGTTCTTTTGAGGATGGTGATTCTCTCAGAGCATAGATCCTTGCATTAGCGGAAGGATTGTCTTTTTGTTGGAATGCAGGATTTCGGTATATAATCTGTGAATCAGATTGCATAGGGGCGGTGAAAGCAGTACAGGGACCCACCCTCGATAGAGATAACATTCACAAGCATAGTGACATCATTGGTGCAGTTAAGGAATTGGTGGCTAGGGATTGGAGTGTTAAGATCGTCAACATCCATCGGGAGATTAACTCAGTAGCTCATGTTTTGGCTAGTTGGGGAGCAAAAAACTCGACGATTAATGTAATATGGAGGAGTCCTCTAGATTTTGTTTTACAAGTAGTAAGGGAGGACATATATTCCCCTATGTAATTTTTTCCTTGTTTTTTTTCGCTCTGTTTAATATTCTCACGAAATCAAAAAAAAAATTAATTAAAGGAATATTATAGAAAATTTTAGATTTTTTAATAATTTAAATATTTATGAAATTTTAAATTTTTTTAATATGAAATATTTTTTTTCAAGACCAGAACTAACCGTTCCAAAAAGCAGAGTGGGTTGTTCCAAAAAGCGGAACGGGCGTTCCAAAAAGTGGAACGGGCCATTCCAGACAAACAAAATGACCTAAAATCCTAGTTGGAAACGGGTCATTCCCAATATGGTCAACATGTGTTAAAATAAACCCCAGAATGGGGCGTTTTGGTTTAAGAACGATCCGTTCTGGTGTTAAGAACAGGCCATTTCAGTGATAAATATTATGCAGAACGAATGGGTCCAGAACGGGCCGTTCTGGATTTAGAAAAGGTCGTTCTGACCACTTCAGACTTCTATAAATAGGAGGGAGGGGCAATGAAAAATTAAAATCAAACAGAGGTGAAAACTTAGAGAGAGAGAGAGAGAAAGAAAGAAAGAAAGAAAGAAGGAAAGAGAGAAAAAGTGAGTAGGAAAAGGATCTTGAAGTTTTTACGCCGATAAACCGATGTTCTAAGGTAAGGGAGAGGAGAACTTTATCTCTTTAAAATTTTAAATACTACTGTGTTTATTTATTTATGTTATATTTTATGTATATTTATTTAGTGAGGTGTCTCTAACCTCATTTATTTGCTTAATCTATGATTATCTTTACTCATAATAATTAATAAGATGTTCATATTTTATATTGTTTAATTATTCTATAATGATTATCATTTTCATGATTGATACTCTTAATATATTCTTGTTACGTAAATATATTTATTGTAAATATATTTTATGATCAACTATAATATAATTTTGATATCTTGGACTCATCTTGTTGTTATTCCTTCATGTATTTATGAAGATAAATATTATTGTATAGCCATAGATGATAAAGTTTGAATTAATTGTAACTAGAGGTTTGACCTTGGGGATTTAAATGAGTAAGAAATGAAGGTGAAATACCTTCTTGTTGGTTAAGGTGAAATATCCTTTTGTTGGTTGATATTATGATAATGTTCATTTATCCTGACTAGTCACTACAAGTATAATTCAAATTTTATTGTAATCTGAAAATCTATTATATGATATATATATATATATATATATGTTTAATATTGATTATAAATAATTATGTACATTCTTTTGAATTATTGTATTTATTGGACATTGTTCTCACTCCTCATTTTTCTTTGTTTTTAAATTAAATATATTACAAAATAGATGGATCTACTTGGGATTCCAGATCATTTTGCAGTTGTTATAGTTGTTGTCTTCCTTGGAAGGAATTGGAATGTGGAGGTTGTTTGATGGATCTATTATAATTTTATTTGTTATTGTAAATTTATTTCCACTATCAATGTAAATATTGTAATAAAAGTGGAAGAAAAAATAATGTGTAAAATAGTACATTATTGTAAATATTATCTATAAAAATATTTCATTGTTATCAAGTATAATATTATTAATAATACACTTTTAATTTTAATATATATATATATACACACACACACGTATAATATTGGGAGTTATAAATCGGGCGTTTCATTTAGTGGTATCAGAGCAAGTCGATCCAATCGGCTGTGAGTTATGAGTTTACTATGTTTGTTTGGTAGATGAAGTCTATTGTTGAAGCGATTGAATCCAAGGAGGATGTATGTTGAGAATTGGAGTTTTAAATATTCTTGAGAAAAGGCTAAAGTGTGCATCTTTGTTATTTTTTTTTATTACATGATTTGGAAGTTATAAATTATTCCTAGCTAGGAGGCACTGCCACCTTTACTGGAATTAATTTACATTTCCTTTATTAC